GCTTACAAACTCCTTTCCCTTCCCCTCCCCAGAACAGACACCCTGTGAGGTAGGCGGGGCTGAGAGAGCTCTGACATAACCTGGTCTTTTTCAAGGACAGCTCTGACAGAACTATGGCCTCCCCAAGGTCATCCAGCCAGGTGCAAGTGGAGGAGTGGGGAATCAAACCCAGTTCTCCCAGATTAGAGTCGATGCACTTAACCACTACACTAAACTGGCTCTTAGAAACCAACAAGATTTTGAGGGTACACGCTTTATTTATTTATTTATTTATTTATTATTTATTAGACTTGTATCCCGCCCTTCCATTCCACATGGGCTCAGGGCGGCTAACAAGAGGCAAATGCCATACATAACAATAAAACCAGGTAAAACAATCAAATTACATTGAGTCCGCTATTTTGGCCATAACGAACTGTTGCCATAATTCATCATGCCACCCTGCCAAGGAGGGTGAGCGGGAGGGTGATTTCCATCCTGCTGCTATTGTCAATTTGGCTGTCGCAAGTAGTGTTGAGATCGTCTCCCTGGTGTTGTCTACTATCGAATCATCCCACTTTTATCTTCTCAATAACCCTGTGAGGTAGAAGAGCAAGATTCAAGCCCAGTAGCACCTTAAAGACCCACAAGATTTCCAGGGTGTGGGCTTTCGAGATGCTGGTTGTCTGCACTCCCCACCCCTAAGCCTTTCGCCACTGCTGTCATCAAGCTGATTCCGTTTTGCATTCTACTTCTGCGGCCCGACTCCCTTCTCTGCAACACTTCTCTCCCAGGGTCATAAAGACTCAGGGATTCTCCATTCCTACTTGAATCTGACAAAGGGAGACTTTGAGTCTCAAAAGCGTCTACTCTGGAGATCTTGTTGGTCGTTAAGGTGCCGCTGGACTCGAATCTGGATCTTCTACTGCAGACCGACGCTGTTATCCACCTGTGAGGGAGGTCAGGCTGATTCACGGTGACTGGCCTGATGAATTTTATGGTGGATTTCAACCTGGGTTTCCCCAGTCCTGGTCCAATACCTGGCAGTGTACGAACGATTTCTGCACATGTTATATGATTTTGGATCTTTATCATAATATATCTTGTAACTATTGATTTTGGCAGTGTTACTTAGCGGATACACACACAGCTTTCATGGTTCTCCTTTTGTACTGCTTCAAGAGCTGTGGTTCTCTGTTTTTGTAGCGTACTAACTGTGTCACAATGTTCCCTCTAAGCTGTGGAGTCTTGTGAGCAAAAATTCTACTTTGTGAGCTACTGGCATTAAAATTGTAAGTGCTTTGACTACTGCATAAATTAGTTTGTTCTGGAGCCATCCTTCCTGAGCTAAGCCAAAAATGTGGGAGCTGGAGGCTAAAAAACTGTTAGCTAGCTCGCACTAACTCAGCTTAGAGGGAACACTGGTCACAAGCAACTGGGTTTTGTGTTTTGTTTTTAAATTTAACCAAGGCTCCTTCTTTTTAAAATAGTTTATTACATTTTCTCATAGTAAGCATAACAAGATGAGGCAGTGCAATGTGGTACAATAATAAAGATACATCAATAATCAGTAAATTAACCAAAATATATAAAGGCTAATCTAGATGCATAACAATAAGCGGTGAGTAAACCGCGGTGGATCAAGTGGTTAAGACGCTGAACTGCAGGTTGTGGAAGGTCAGTAGTTCAGCCGTTCGAGACCCGGGTTGCCGCATGAACGAGTGAGCTCCTGTCTCTAGTCCCAGCTCCTGCCAACCTAGCAGTTCGAAAGCAAGAAATTGCAAGTAGATAAATAGGTACCACTTTGGTGGGAAGGTAACAGCGTTCCGTGCGCCTTGGTGTTTAGTCATGCCGGCCACATGACCACGGAAACGTCTTCGGACAGCGCTGGCTCTTCGGCTTTGAAACGGAGATGAGCACCGCAACCCTAGAGTCGGACTCGACTGGCTTTCGAGCAAGGGACCCTTTACCTTTACCTTTAAACCATATTTACCCTGTTTTCCTTTTCTCCGTTTTAATCTGGATATTAAAAGTACTGAAAGAACTTTCAAAATGATCACAGACACAAATCGCCACAAGGTTAGATGAAGATGTTTGGGAGGTAAGGTGCAATAAGTTGTCAGTGATTTTTGGCCATGATACAAAGGCTTTCTGTGTCAGAGCGACAGGTCCGGTAGTGTTTTATCTTTCCAGTGTGAAGCTGTAGCTGCTTTTGCAGCAAATAAAATGATTGAGATGGCTTCTGAGAGCTTTCTTAGCCACTTCATCAAAGAACAAGGTGTCTAAATCCAGAAGTCATAAAAGTATGGAGGATTCCGTGCTTCCTGGCTTGTCGGGAAATGAAATGTTAAAATTGAAACCACTGAAAATTAGTTGTATCTTGTTTTAACTTCAGGGCTGTGGAACTGCAGAATGTTTGCGGATATTCTGCCAAGTGGGTCGCTTGGAAAGGGGGAAGAGTGCGATTCTGTATTTAAAATCTCGCCTCTGGACTCAGACCTTCATAAACGTGAGCATCTGCTGCTGTTTTACTACTCCAACCAACTCCTGGGACATCTAGATCGGGGTGCCCATGGGCACCAGGGGACCGACACACACCTTTCTTGATGCCCACCAGGTGTTTTTAGAAAGTGGGTGGGGCCAGGTGAGGCTCTCACTCAGCTGGGCCTCTGATTTGCTAATTGAAGATCTGGTTGGCTGTACAGATTGAAATAACATTGTTTCACTGTCAGCTGCCACCACAATATTTGCTTTATTTTCTCTCCCCCCTCTTTCCCAGTGTATTTTTAATTACCCCTTTTCTCCTCTGGGCTTGGGCTTCCTTGGTGTGTGTGGCCCCGCCTCTCGTGAAAGCCATTTTGTGGATTGCTCTGCCTCCTGCTGCAGCCATTTTATGGTTGCTCCCACCACCCTGTGTCAGAATTCCAAAGGTGCCCCACAGGCTGAAAAAGTTTGGAGACCCCCCCAAGGTAGACCATGCTCTGATATTCCTTTCATGTCCTTCCCTGCACAGAAGGAAAACCAGAACCATTCGTACTCGCTCAAGTCATCTGCGTCCTTCAGCGTGATCGAGTTCCCGTACAAGAATCTCCCCTTTCCTGAAGACGTTCACAATTCTACAATAGTAAGCTGCTTGATATTTGAAATGGGTTTGACCCATAGTAGCATAATTAAGCTGAAAAGAATGGGCAAAATGATCGGCTTTCACTGTGTTTTAATTGCTGATATTAAATGGGGCAGCGCTGAATGAGTTTGATTTCATGCCGCTTAAGCTTTTAATTAAATTTTAGCCTTCAATTAAAAGCTTTAGATGAATAGCTTGATCTTTGCATTGTTGTTTTAGTGGGGGGGGTGGCTCTGGCGCGCAGATTAGCATTTTGGCATGGAAGTCTGATAGACGGACAGTGTGAGCCACAAATCGTAGGCTCCATAATCCTCTGCGCATTGGCTGAAAGAAAGTCCCCTTGGGTTCAGTACAGCTTCATTCCTGGCATGCACGCATAGGATCCCAGTTAATCTAGCTTCTCAAAACATCACTAAAGCAGTTTTGTTGGGTGATAGTGAGATATTGAAAAAATTGTATTTAGCAGAGATAAGATAGTCCGGCAGTCCGGAATAAAATTGTATTTAGCAGAGATAAGATAGTCCGGCAGTCCCGGAATAAAATAATTCAGACTCAGAGTCCATGTGTGATTAAAATATAAAGTTTTTACTAAATTCTAGCATGGGAAGGGTAACTGGGATGAAAATAACAACAGAGCAAAATCTGCTACATCCTTACTCTACAAAGACAAAACTAGAAGAGAGAGATTATGGCTACTCTTCTTCTTCTTCAGAACACCAAACAAAGACGGGAAGAGAGCCATAAAATGCTAACACCTTGACACTTTAGTCCCAATCAAATTCCTAGATCAGGGAGAAAATTCCCGGGTATTCTACAGCTAAAGAACATTGGTTACATGAAAAACACGTGACTTCCTGTGAGTAACATAAACATTTAACCCCAGATATACTGAGTGTTTTCAACTTGTAACACCCAACAAGTTTACAGCATATAATGATTAGAAGGAGCTGAATCACAGAATAAAAACTGCAGCTGTTTAAAAAAAGAACATGTAACATTGAAAGATGTTAAAACCACAAATCGTATAAAAAGGTGTTCTGAGTGTGAAGTGTGCCTTTTGCCTTCTAAAGATTTCAGATCTAGGCACAGTGCATCTTTTTTGCTTGATTCCAAAGTTTTCCAAGGGAGATTCCAAAGTGTCTGCCAAGGGAGTGAAGCATGATTCAGGGTGGTTCCCAGACGTCGCAACCACCTGGCTCAGAAGTGGGTGGGTGGGCCTGGAGCCACACTGGGCTCAGCAGTGCAGCGGGAAATGGGATTCCCTCCGCAAGTCCCACAGGAGGCCCCCCCCCCTTTTAATAGGATAATCGGGGTGTGAACGTTTACGGTGAAATCAAGGGTCTGTACATTCTATGTTTTTAAAAATGAAATTTGGTGTCAAAGCAATCCCAATCCCATACGGTCAAATCTGCAGTATGTTTGTTCACTCATGTATTGATAAAACGGAAGAGGGGAGGGCCACGTAAGCCGCTTTAAGTCCCCATTGGAGAGAAAAGTGGGATATAAACGAATTAAATAAATTTTAAAAGCCGTGGGATTTTGCATGGTGAAGGGCAAGAAGCTAGGCAGAACACCACAGCTCCGCCACTCTCCACCCATAATGTGGTTCAGCTACATCTCAGGCTTCTGAAATCTTACAAATATTGCCTGTGTAGACCACAGGTGTCAAACTCATTGGTTAACGAGGGCCAGATCTGACGTAAATGTCACTTTGTCAGGCCAGGCGGCCATGTGTGTACCGTAAATGTAATCCCAGGTACTGGAGATATAAACTGTATAAAGGACAGCAGCTGGTAAGCTCTGAGTTGTTGTGTCCTCCCTGCAAGTCCCCATCGGCTGGGACGGGGGTCCAAAGGAAATCCCATAGGGGCGGAATGGAGAGCCAGCGGTGTAGCACTGGGCAGATGCTCCCACGCTGCTTGACTGCGGTAGATGCGGTTGTTCTGCCATGCTGGAGCCACATTCCCACCCCCACCCACCCCCCAGCAGCCTCCTGTTCCCTCCCTTGCACCAGTTGCTCTTGGGCCGCATAAGAGCCCTGGATGGGCCGGTTCTGGCCCCCGGGCCTTATGTTTGACACCCCTGATGCAGACTTTCATGCAAGCCTTCCAAAACAGAGGGACCGGGAATGCTAAGATTCTCAGGGAACTGAATCGTGTAATCAGTACATGATTCTGGGGAAACGTTTGCATTCCCACAGAATCACGGTATACACAAAAGTCTTTGTTATCAGTTAGGAAAACCTTCCTTCCTTCCTTCCATCCTTCCTTCCCCTTCCTTCCTTCCTTCCTTCCTTCCTTCCTTCCTTCCTTCCTTCCTTCCTTGCTTCCTCTTAATTTACACAATTCTGTTTCATCCTCCTAATGTTTTTCGTATTTATTTTACTTCATTTATGCTCCACGTTTCTCCCCAGTGAGGAACCAAAGTGGCTTACGTTGATCTGTTCTCCATTTTACCTTAACAATAACCCTGTGAGGTTGGTTAGGCTGAGAGAGCGTGACTGGCCCAGGGATGCCCAGCGAGCTTCCAAGGTAGAATGGGGATTCGAACCTGGGTCTTAAAAAGGTGTTCTGAGTGTGAAGTGTGCCTGTTGCCTTCTAAAGGTTTCAGATCTAGGCACAATGCATCTTTTTGCTTGATTCCAAAGTTTTATTTGCGGGTGTTAAGTGTCTGCCAAGGGAGTGAAGCGTGATTCAGGGTGGTTCCCAGACGTCGCCACCACCTGGCTCAGAAGTGGGTGGGTGGGGCCTGGAGCCACACTGGGCTCAGCAGTGCAGCAGGAAATGGGATTCCCTCTGCAAGTCCCACAGGAGCCCCCCACCACCACCTTTTAATAGGATAATCGGGGTGTGAAAGTTTACGGTGAAATCAAGGGTCTGTACATTCTATGTTTTTAAAAATGAAATTTGGTGTCAAAGCAATCCCAATCCCATACGGTCAAATCTGCAGTATGTTTTCATGCCGGCCACATGACCACGGAAACGTCTTCAGTCAGCGCTGGCTCTTCGGCTTTGAAACGGAGATGAGCACCGCAACCCTAGAGTCGGATTCGACTGGCTTTTGAGCAAGGGAACCTTTACCTTTACCTAGCCTCACATTGTTTCTCTCTAAATAATATGTTGGGTTTCTTTTGGTGTTTTTTTGCTTTAGGTCACCACAAATATCTTGTGGGGTATCCAGCCAGCTCCCATGGCAGTGCAAATCTGGGTAATCATACTGGCTGTCCTAGCCGGCCTGTTGCTTCTGGCTCTCCTGATCTTCGTTATGCACAGGGTAAGTGGTGTATTTAGTCAAAAAAAAATGTGCTTTCTTTTTTTTAACCTTGGTGCTGATGCCACGCCCTGACCTTGACAGCCCGGATCGCATCAGATCTCGGAAACTAAGCAAGGTCGGCCCTGAGACTAACAAAGGAAGCCCAGGGCTGCTATGCAGAGGCAGGCAGTGGCAAACCACCTGTGCTCATCCACTCCCTTGAAAACCCCTTGAAGGGTCATAGCATCATAGAGTCATGGAAGGGGCCAGACAGACCATCTAGTCCAACGCCTTGCCCGGTGCAGGACCAGCCTAAAGCATCTCTGACAAATATTCGTCCGGCCTCTTCTTGAAAGCTGTCAGTGAAGGGGAGCTCACCACCTCCCTAGGCAGCTGATCCCACCTTTGAACCACTCTGACTGTGAAAAAGATTTTCCTAATATCCAGCCGATACCTTTCTGCATGTAATTTAAACCCGTTGCTTCGGGTCCTCTCCTCTGCTGCCAACTGGAACAGCTCCTTGCCCTCCTCCAAATGACAGCCTTTCAAATGTTTAAAGAGAGCAATCATGTCTCCCCTCAATCTCCTCTTCTCCAAACTAAACGTTCCCAGGGCCCTTAGCCTTTCCTTGTAGGGCTCAGTCTCCAGACCCTTGATCATCCTCGCCGCTCTCTTCTGCACCTTCTCGATTTTGCCCACATCCTTTTTGAAGTGAGGCCTCCAGAACTGCACACAGTACTCCAGGTGTGGCCTGACCAAGGCAGTATACAGAGGGGCTATACAATGTTCCCTCTAAGCTGTGGAGTCTTGTGAGCAATGATTCTATCTTGTGAGCTACTGGCATTAAAGTTGTGAGCAGGTGATTTGGCCGCTGCATAAATTAGTTTGTTCTGGAACCATCCTTCATGAGTTAAGGCAAAAATGTGTGAGCCGGAGGCTTAAAAACTGTGAGCTAGCTCACACTAACTCAGCTTAGAGGGAACACTGGCTATGACCTCCTGCGATTTCGATGCTATGGCCCTTTTACCCATAAGCGGCCTGCTTCTTGACAGCATTTCCCACTACTGATGTCAGTCTACGTGTGGCCTGAAACCCAGCAGAGCCCATTCACCGTAAGGGGGCTTCTTCTGAAACAGCTCAGCCGTGTCGAAGTGTACTGAGCCCATTGGGCTGAAGGCGGTTTTTAGCTGCGCTTATGGGGAGGAGTCCTCTGTTCTTAGCGTTGGGGGAATTAAGAGCCCAGGAGCTTTTCCTAGGAATCCCACCCCCACCCGGCTCGACAGGGGGGGCGGTTTGAGACTGTCAAGAACCCCAGAGTTTCAGAGAGAGAAGGGGAAAAACCTGTTCCAAAGGATCTGTGATTTACTGAAAGAAAACCATGCTGCACAAATGTTCAAGCAAGTAGCGATTTCAGTATTCATCTTAGAGAAGGGACAAACCAGCACTTATAAACGAATAGTGCACTTATTATTCATTTAGGAATTACTATCTCTTTAGGAATGCATTCCGGCTGCCCTGACAAGACCTGACCACGGTGTTGACAGAGGGCCCCTAGCATCCACAGACAATGGTGTTAAATACCTTTAGAATCCAGGTTAGCTGTCAATCTAGAAATTGGATGGTCCTGACGAAATCTAGACTCTTCCTGTTTCTGACCAGAAGACTCTGATTGGAGTCGTTGCATCACTAAGTTAAAAGCACCCTCCCTGTCAAGGCAGGAACTTGGAGCCCCAGGTCCCCATATCTAGATGCTTTGGCTTCTGGGCTGGAACTCAGAAATGTGAACAGAGTGCCGGGTGCATTGTCAGGTGCATCGAAGACCCTCCTGCAAACCCTTATGGGAGGGAGCCAAATAGAGAGGTCTAAGCCACTTCAGGCTGCTGTACAGAAATGCCTCTTCTCACTTTTAATTCTGCCAGAGTTAGTTGCATTTCTGTTTGTGAAGTCTCAACCAGTTTTGGATCTTCTTTTACAGGGCAATCCTCAGCAGAGTTTGCTCCTTTCTAAACCCACTGAAAGGGATGTAGCTGTGCTTAGGATTGCACTGGCAGGGCCTTTATGTTCATACAGGAATGAGGCATGTCCTGATTTGGATGTCCCAATATAGCCTGGTCTCAGAAGCTAAGCAGGTTCGGCCCTGGTCAGTACTTGGATGGGAGACCTCCAAGGAATACCAGGGTCACGGCACAGAAGCAGGCAGTGGCAAACCACCTCTGAACGTCTCTTGCCTTGGAAACCCTATTGGGGACGCCATAAGTCAGCTGCGACTTGACAAGAAAAGAAAAGAAAAGAAAAGAGATATGTGTCAAAATAAAGCACTAGCTTTGCAGGAAAATATTGGTTTGGATCCAGTGATGTGCGAGCAGAAAGGAAAATGTGCTTGATGCAGTTCCGTTTGCCCAAGTAGTAGTGTAACAGCTGCAGCGGCATGTAGAACTTTAACATAGTCTTTTAACAGAAATACTGCATGCATACGGAGCAATTGAACGTACAACAGATGGCTCGCCTGATTCCGTTTCATTTACCTTTGAAACTGTGTCAGAAGAAATACCCTGTGCTTGCACACACGGAAAAGACAGTTGAGATACGAACTGCGTTCACTAAGTGCAAGCAGACTGGCGATGAGGAATCATTTTAGGGCTTCCATCTGTGCGCACGTGGAAATCTGCCTGGGATCCACACTTGTGGTTTTTGCTCATTTGCCCCCATTATGCAATTTGGTGTTTTCCTCTTTCTCTCTTCAATACAGATGGGGTTCTTCAAAAGGGTGCGGCCGCCTCAGGAGGAACAAGAAAGAGAACAGTTGCAGCCCCACGAAAATGGAGAAGGGACATCGGAGGCCTGAACAGTGTTTTTAGCTGTGTCGTTTACTGAAACACTTAACAATTGCCAACGTCTTCCTTTCCAAATAGTCACGTTTCCCTCTTAAGGGACAGAGAAACCCAGGACTGCGCTGCAAAATGTCCCGTCGAACATTGGGCGTGGTCTCAACTTAACTGCAGAATCCAAGCGATGCATTTTAACGTCCCTCATATTAATCGTGTTCACACGTGTGACTAATGACTTGAGCACCGATTAGCATATTTTAGTGCCACGATTTTCCTTATCCAGCTTCAGAAGGCGATTTCTC